GTTTTAACTGCTCTCATTACTTCCATTAATTTAGAGAACTAACAATCATAGAAGAATTGTGTGTGAATAGATGTAAAACTATAAAAATAGTAAGTAGCATCTTTTAAAGGCAATTTCTACTTGGGCAGTTTCTGTTTAGGAATATGTATTTTAAGGACATTTTCAACTTTAGAATCATATTTTGGTTTTGCTAAAAGGCCATATTCTCATTCATCCATGTCAATTTAACATTTACATTTTTTAAAAGAAGCACACTTTTATTCTCCCATTGTGCTTGGAATTTTTTAGCAGAAAAGAAAATGTGTCCATATCATTAGATAGTACTTAACCCTATATACCTAATCTTTGATTTGGAAACTTAACAAATACCATTAATTATTTTTATTACCTTTTATTCAAAAGAGAACACTGCCTTTGTAAAAGAAACTATATATTGAAGTAAAAATACTTTTCACACACAAATATGCTGATGATGCTCTTCAGGTAAACCTAACATTTTTTTTTTAATTTTTTTTTTTTATTAGTGAAACACCATGAGGTACAGTTGTATACTTACAAATTTTTGTGCTTGGGTTTCCGTTGCACAATGATCAAGTACCCATCCCTCCACCAGTGCCCATTTTCCACCACCACTGATCCCAGTACCCCTCCCACCCCCCTTACCTTCCCCCCCACCCCACCCTGCCTCTGTGGCATGGCACTCCCTTTTGTTCTCTCTCTCCTTTTGGGTGCTGTGGCCTGCAAAAGAGGCATCGAGTGGCAACATGTTCGTAAACCTAACATGTTACTTGAAAATACTGCTGCCAGACTAAAGCAAACCTTGGGATGTCTTTTTTATGCCAAAGGAATACTTCATTAACATTAGATTTTTTTGATATGTGAATTTCAAAGAATTCACAGCATGTTTTGAAAAGGAAATGCTTAATTTATTATGAGAAATGGAAGTCTGACTTAGATGTTAAGGAAGAGGAATGACTGACACATTTAGGAAACATGGAAAATGGTCGCATTATCAAGTATGGAAATTTGATAATGTTGTGACATATTTACATAATTCTATCATCAGATCATCAGATTATACTTATACTATACTTATATAAATGCATAAGTTATACTTATATAAATGCATAAGTTTTATATAAATTATACTTATATAAATGCATAAGTTTTTCAGCAAGGAAATAATTGAAATCTTTGGTGGTTTATTATCTAATATCTTACTGAGTAAAGTCAGAGCCGTATACTCTGGAAGGTATCTTGTTTTCAGAGTTAGGGAGGATCGGATTTTAACAAATGTCTGTTCAGTATAACATCTTTCTCAAGTAGCATATTTTCAAACATAACATTTAATTTGGCTGTCGTGTTTAATTTCAGTGGTGTAATGTTGAATGTGTCATAATTTCTGTAGTAAAATGCAATTTTGAATTATAGGTTGTAGGTATGTTGTCATCCTAGAAGTCCTTTTAAACTCCCATCAATACTATCTGCTTAGAAAAGAAAAAGTTACCACTTTTAAAGTGTGCACTTCTACTGTGGACTTTCCATAATGGTTGTAACCTATGCCCTTTTATCTCTATCCATAATCGCCAGTTATAGATTCCAGGCATTACCTTAAACTCTGCATTATATTTTAGCCTTCACAAGAATTTGTCTCAAGATGCATTATTGTCCTCATTTGAAGATGAGTAAACTAAAGGTCAAAGGTGGTTAATACGGGAGAAGTCTGCTTGTGGTTAATATTAGGTCACACACTTATGGTTTGGCTACCTGGGTTTTTATCTAAGCTGTATCGTTTAAAGTTCTGTCATCTTGGAACATTTCTCAAGTTCCATTAAGTCTCAGTTTCTTATTAATCAAAGGGAGGTAATGCCAGTGTCATAAAACTCTTAATAATGAACAAATAAGATGATATGTAAGCTGCTTGGGGGAAGTCAATGTACGTTTAGCAAGGATCAAATGTAACTACTGAGGAAATTAGTAAAGGCCATTCAAGTGGTAGAAAATAATGCTGTTACCAGTACCCCATCCCAGTTTATTTCACTTGCATTTTATCTAGGCAAGAAATGTAAATATGAGGGTGAGTCGTACTAATTAACATGTCTCGTAATTTTAAGAAGGGGATGATTATAGTTATAAAATTTACAAAATAGAAAATTTAATAAAGGGCAAAACTTAAAATTGGTGGTCTAGAAACCAAGACATAAAAGAAGTTTTCTGAAGAATCACATTAGTATTTTTATAGACAAGAATGGAAAGGTGTGCATTCTTCCTGAATCTGCCTGCACATTATTTAAATCCTTCACTGATCATTAACCATAACCACAAGAGCAACGGAAATATGTGTTTACTTTTGGTGAAAGTCTCTAGTGAGCAATCCTTCCTCAAATGTTGTCACCTTTTCCTCCTTAAGCAGTTAAATAAATTTATATTAAATATTGTCCTTTGAGCATTGGGTTATAAACAATGGTAAGAATTTGTTCTTTTATGTTTTTATCTTTAAATTTGTATAATAATAGGAATTTATTAAATCTTTAAATCTCAGTCTGATTGGTGCTTACAGTTTTTACATTCTTTTATAGATCTTAATTTTCATAACTTAGATACCCTATTTGACAACATAATCTGTCTAATGTCTCATTATAATGAATAATATTACCAGTAAAACCCCTGAAACAGATCATAAGTTACTCTAATATGGATAATCCATTTTATTCCTTACTTTGTTTCTTGGTGGTTCAGTAACTCTAGTAGAAATTGAAGTATGTTTATTGGGTAGCACTGTAGCACTGTCCTCCTGTTGTTCATCAGTTTGCTTGAGAGGGCCCAGTAATGTCTCCATTGTGAGACTTGTTGTTATTGTGTTTGGCATATCAAATATGCCACTGGGAGCTTGCCAGGCTTTGCCGTGCGAGCAAGATACTCCCGGTAGCTTGCCGGGCTCTCCGAGAGGGGCGGAGGAATCGAACCTGGGTCATCTGCATGCAAGGCAAACCCCCAACCCACTGTGATATCGCTTCAGCCCAAGTTTATTGGGTAAAATTTAATTTTAAAAGATAGTTTATGTACTTTGACACTAATAACTTATCTATTTTTAGGATTAAATTTATAATATAAAGGTTTTAATTTTGATATTTCCTTTGCAACTCATTGATGTGTGGTTTAACTCTCAAGTAGTATGTTATACTGGAACTTCTGAGAGGGTAACAATATAATTAACCTTGACATTATGAGATATTTTTAATGCGTTAAGGCATATTTGGCCATTCTAAAGCAAACAAGCTTAAAAATGATCTTTATGTGTTTAAATAGATTCAAAGAATATGAAAATTCTTGATTAACTGTTAAATCTGTTAGTTTAGCTCAATGTTTCCCTTAGGTTTAAGGGAAGTAGTTCTCTATTTTCAAAATTATTATTGTCAGAGGCCAGATTTCTTTAATTTGTTTTAAAGCGATGTACTTCAGATTTTGTAAAGACAGGAACTTGGTATAAGATTCCATTGTGGCACATTTGCTGACGACTTATCAGAAAACACACTTCAAACACAAAAATGTTTTATATACGATACTTGGCTCAAGCTGAGAAAAAACTTGGTTGCAAGTAAATCTCTAGTGCTTCATTGACCCACATTGTCTTTTACACATAAAAATTTGATGAGTAAGACTGAAAGGAATGTCCAAGTCAGTTTTGTCCGTTTTCCTTAATGGTTTGTCTTAAATATTGCTGGGCTAAAAAAGCATCAGAAATGGAGATCGTATACTGCAATCAAAAAAGGTCATGTTCTATTATGAGATAGTCAGTGAGCTCTGGGAAGTACTAACAACTAAGCTATAGTTTATTAAGTACTAATATTTGAGCTCCCATCCTGGCCTAGAGCAGTTTCGATATTGTTTCTTTATTGTTTACCAACAATCCTTACAGGACAAACTTTTTGGTGGCTTTTATTATTACTATTACTATTATTATTATTATTAAACTTATATTAACACAAGTTTTAGGACTTGTTTGTAAAATGCCACTTCACACTTAGGAAAACAAGCTTAAAGAGCTCACATACTTACCAAGTAGTAGAATGGAACCTTGAACTAATTTCTGTTAGAATCTGTTATTCACAGGATTTGAAATGAGTTGATAGTGGTTGGGAAAATATTAAATAGGAAAATGGCAGCTATCCTTCTGTTTATTCAGCTGTGCTGCCTTACAGGCCACCACACACAAAGAAAAAAAGAAAGATAGGTGACAATGGAGAGGGAGAGATACACCATTACAGCAAGCTACCTCTATAGTAAATATCCCATCATGTCATCAGACTTTATTTCATTTATATTATAATCTACAAGCAGACTAGAGTAATAAAGGTGATGCCACATCACAGGATGTACTGTCTAGAAATAAACTAAAAAATAAACATGGAAATGCTTTTTTATGGATAGCTTGTACTCTAAGTGGGACAAAATTGCAGATGAGAAAATGGAAAAACATAATTGTTCTTGGATAGGATGATATAACAAGATTTTAATTTTCCATTAGTTGATACATAAATTCAAGTGGACCTCATAACAGTACCAACATCTTTTACCTATAGCTAGACAAGAAAACTCCAAACAATGAACATGCCTCCTCTTCACTACCTAATATTTACACAGTTATTAAAATAGTTTTTATAGATTATGTTCTGAGGAAGTCTCTTAAGGTAGAAGTGGGAAGGATATTTTAATGGCATCTTGATGCAACTTCTTAAAATTTCTGTTACATGCCAAAAATCATGTAATGAACTTATTAATAATTTTTTTTTGCAGTATGTTTACAGCATTGGGAAATACCCATTGGCAAAGGATTATTTATTTAGCTGTTAGGTGCCAGTAGTTCCAAGATTTCTGTTTCTTTGTTACTGAACAATTGTTGCAGCAGTTTTCTAAAGTAGCCTTTGAAATTGCTGATTTGATAAACTACATATTTTTATGTCATTTTTTCACCCTTCTTTTTTCTTTTTTCTCTGTAGTTGCATTAAAAGCCCCTCCAGCAGAGAGAAGTGAAATACAGGATAACTGTAGAACAAAATTCAGAGAAAGCCTGAACTTACAAGAAGGAGAATTTCTGTTACAGGTAAACCTAATAAGTAAATTATAGTTTAATATCCCATCAAGTTGTATCATGTCATGTCCATATGATAAAGATAATTATAAATAGAATATTAATCAAGCAGCCTTTTAAATTATTCCAAGCAAAATGTTTCATCTCGCCTTCACCCCAGCTGCACTTGTGTTGTAGGGCAAATGAGCTCGTCTCTCCAGGGTTTCTCTTTCTGTGATTCAGTTACCTGTGGTTGTCAGCGATAAAACAATGTAAGAGAGCAATTATGTATATAAATTAGTGTGCATATACGCATACATATATGTGTATATTATGTATGTGTGTACATATGAATATATTTTATTGTTCATTGTTTTTGGTATTCTGGCAGCCACTGGAAGTCTTGGACTCTCTCAAGGAGAATCAAATGAAAAAAAAGCTGAATTTTGGGGTGGAGCATTAGCACAGTGGGTAGGGTGTTTGCCTTGCACATGGTGACCCAGGTTCGACCCCCAGCTTCCCATATGGTCCTCCTAGCACCATAAGGAGTAATTTCTGAGTGCATGAGCCAGGAGTAACCCCTGTGCATCAATGAGTGTGACCCTAAAGGGAAAAAAAATAGTGCAAGCTTGATCCCCAGCATCCCATAAGGTCCCTTGAGCCTGCCAGGAGTGATTCCTGAGAGCAGACTCAGGAGTACGTCCTGAGCATTTCCTGCTTTGGTCAAACAAAGCAAAAACAAAAAGAGTTTTTGAGATATACATAAAATTTATATTATGTGCTCATTAAAGACTTTTTGTTGTTAATTTCTTGTGTTTCTCTAATGGATTGATATTGTATCTTAAGTTATCTTTGGACTAGTATGCACCAGTGCAATTAGCAGAAAGCCTTGAATTGGAAACCCAATTTGAAAAGCTATTCAAAAAAGCTTGATCATTGTATAACTGAAACCCAAGCACAAAAATTTGTAAGTCTATAACTATACCTCACGGTGTTTCACTAATAAAAAAATAAAAAAAAATTGCACCTATACATCATAAGTAATGGAAAAAATAGAGTATAGCAATCAGAGAAACAAATAAAAGAAAAAACAGAGAACTTAAAAAAGAAAAGCTTGGTAGCACTGTAGCGCTGTCCTCCCGTTGTTCATTGATTTTTTTTTTCAAGTGGGCACCAGTAATGTCTCCATTGTGAGACTTGTTACTGTTTTTGGCATATCAGATACGTCATGGGGAACTTTCCAAGTTTTGCAGTGCGGGCGGGATACTCTCAGTAGCTTGCCGGGCTCTCCAAGAGGGAAGGAGGAATCAAACCCAGGTCAGCTGTGTGCAAGGCAAACACCCTACCCACTATGCTATCGATCCGGCCCAAAAAGCTTGGTATTTCCCTACAAAATAACACAAGCCCATTTAAGAGAGATTGTAGGTTCAGTGTCTGACCAAAGAATAAAGTAACTATCACTACAAAGAAAGTCAGACATTGCTTTTGTTTTTCCAGTGCCCAGTGCAGAAAAAGTATGCTTATGTTGTACTGTAGTCAGTCAAGTGTGCAATAGTAGGTAAAAATGAAAGAATATACGTACTTTCTGTCAGATTTTTGTCACAGATACAAAATTAGTACATACTGTTAGATAAATGGTGCCAGCATATTTTGCTTATTTTATTTCTTTTGAAAATGGTTTCATATATGTCTTTCCACCTCTTTTAAAAGTTGATTCAAAGGTATTTGAGGTTTTTTTTTTAAAACACAATTCTAACTAGGATTGGTTTCCTGACTTTGTCATCTTATAGTATGTTATCTGCAAATAATGGTACTTTTGCTTTTTGGTTCCAATTTGAATCCCTTTAATTTATGTTTCTTCACTAATTTCTGTAGCTGATTTCTAATACTATGTTGAATAAAAATGGTAAGAGTGGATATACTCTATTTTTGCCTATCCTTCAACTATTTGTCACTGGATATTGTTAGCTGTGGGTTTGTTTATGTATATTTATTCATATATATATTACTATATTAAGATAAGTTCGTTCCTTCTGTTTCCATTTATTGAGGGTTTTTTTCAATCATAAGTAGATATTGAATCTCACTAAACACTTTTTATGCATCCCTTGATGATCATGATTTCTTTTCCTTGTCACATCGAGTTGTATACGTTGAATGATTCTGAAACAAAATCTGGAGCACAAGGAGGAAACTAACTTTCTATGATTCAACATAGATTTTAATTTAAGACTTTCCTTGATTAAATAAAAGGTATAGTTTCTTCTCACTCCAGGGATGGTGTGTTGTATTTGGATAACAATCTTAAAAATATTAAAGAGACTTTTTTCTTCAGTAGTAATAATAGTAGCTTCAACTGAAGTATTTGAGTGGAACATTGTTAGTCTAATTACTGATATTTTAACTGTTTCTTTGTAGGCCCTGAATGGCTTTGTGTTGGTTGTCACTACAGATGCCTTGGTTTTTTATGCTTCTTCAACCATACAAGATTACCTGGGATTTCAGCAAGTAAATGCATTTAAAACTTTTAGATACTTATTTCTCACTTAGTCTTCAGAATAGTTTAGAAAGTTAATTTTTGTATGTGTATTTGAGGATATAATCACTTGTGTATATAATCAAGTATATGTGTTAAAGAATAAAATACAGCTAATATATTTTAAATGTAGTAGTGATTTACAACACTATAATTTAAATATTTATGTGATTTATTTGGTGTTTTTTTTTGTATCTCACTAAGAAACTTAGATACTCTTACCCCCCCCAAATTTCATATATAATTATGTATGTGTGTGTGTACACATATATATGTATGTGTACGTATGATATGTAGGAATATATTCCTATGTATGTAACTTTGGAGTAAAATATAGATACCTATACCTCTCATGTATATGAAATATGCATGTATACATATATATGAAACTTAAGGGTAAAAGGTAGATATTTGGATGAGAGAAAACAAGATAATGTTTTTATCAGATTCCTTATGGATACTGGAGGGCATGTGGTAATTTAGAAATAAATGAAGTGTCATATAAAGAAAAAATAACTGGATTATACAATGTTTTCTGAAGGAATATGGTGTATATATATATATATATAAACCTAAAAAAAAGTATATGATTCAGTCGATCAAACAGTTGTAAAGGGAGTAGAGAGAAGAAAGAAACAATAGACTTGGAGTCCTTAACATAGAAAATCTGTCAGTTTGTCTAACATTGAATGACAAGTAAATGGGTGACTTTCAACAGTTTTAAAGTATATTTGATTACTAGCAATAATATATTTGTAATTCTTAATGTACAAAAGATTTGTAGGGCTTGAAAAAAGTTAATAGGATATTTAGGTCTCTCTCAGATATTTTGACTCAGTGGGTCAAAATGAAATCTGTGGCAGTACATTCCTAATCAAGTTAATTGCTGTTACCAAGGGAGCTGTACTCCATTATACAAAATGACATGTAAACTATAAACTATGTTATATACCAAATGGAAGTTACTAAAAGTGTGTATTAAACTAACTGTGCTTACTTGAGCCTTTGTGATAACTCTGACATTAGTGTACTATTTATTTTTTCTGAAGTAAAGATGGTTTAATGTTAAGAGATAAAGTTCCTGGAGAGGTTTAAATCAAGATAGCTGAAGTAGTAGAATCTGGGTGTTGCCACAAAGTCTAAATTCCAGTTTTTCTAAATTTCAAAGGAAATGGTTTCATGTCTATAAGAGAGCCTGTTTTAAACCTGAGTTACATAACTGCCTTAATTATTATTTGATAGTACAATTCATAATCACCAATAAACCAGATTAACTTTCAATCCATTTTTTACTCACATGCACATATAGCCTGTATATTTTTTAAAAAATTCATAGTTGATATGGTTTACGCCCCATTTTAAAAATCGGTAGTTGTTTCTTAGTGAGTGAATTTGATGTAGTGGAATGCCATCACTTTTTATTTTATTCACTTTAAGCATCAGAAGAGTCTTTCGTATCCCTTTCAAAAGTGTATTATTGAACTCTGTTGTGTGCATATGTTTATATATGTTTACACACATGTGATAGATGGAAAATGTGTTTTTTGCCATGACTTAAAATTTTGCAACATTAGAAGACTATTTGTAGGAAAGCCTGAGTGGCAAGACGGGGAGGAAGGATTCTGACACAATAACGGTAATTAATCCCTTATGTTGATCATCTGCTTGGAGTAAAAATCTAATGTTAGTAGTATGAAAATAGGACAGTAAATTCATTGTGAATATCATTAAGTCCATAGAAATCAAAGACAAAGCATTCAAACAAGATTGAATAAAAGGAGTAGGATTTAAAAGTGAATAAGTGGATATAATGGGCAGAATTTAACATATAACTAAGGAATTGGAGTGGTGACACATCTGACTGAAAAGTCAGTGTGGAGAAGTGGTGGCAAGTAATTTTTGATTTATCAATTCAAATGCCAGTCTTTTCCTAGCTGGACTGACTAGGTAACTTGGTAAGTGATTTAACTTCATCACCAATAAACTAACTGATCATTATGGGTTTTGTGATTATTTTAGTGAATCATTTTTAAAATCATTTCCTTTATCATTTTTAGTCTGATGTCATACATCAGAGTGTATATGAACTTATCCATACTGAAGATCGAGCTGAATTTCAACGTCAGCTCCACTGGGCATTAAACCCCTCTCAGTCTACTGACTCTGGACAAAGAATTGATGGTAAGAATGTTAACTAAAAGATGATGGTTATTGATGATTTTGTAAAAGGAGTTTGGAAATCCATGGTGAATGTTTGCTTGAAAGAAAAAAGAAGTGCATAGCTATAGGCCAGAGCCAGATTACAAAGAACATAATGGTCAAAAGACTATTTTGATGTATGAAATTTAGTGAGAAGTTCAAACTAGTAATACAATTTACTTTTGGGTTTTGTTTTGATGCAATATCCTGGCAGGACTCAGGGAACCTTATATAGGATATTAGAAATTGAATCTGGGTGTTATTTGCAGGGCAAGTACCCTTGTTTACTAAATTCAGTCTCTAGTCCCTTCATTCCATTTATTTTGTTTTATAAAAAAAGCTCATAATTCTGAAGGATGGGAATGCTCAAGGTTGATAATGGAACATGTCTAAATTTCGTTTAAAATATACCAAATAATAAATCAAACTACTAGTTTGAAAAGAATGTAATGTAAGCAGCATTTTCAGTAGTCTGTGGAAGTGGTAAAAAAAATAATAAAGCATAAGAAAAGGTGGGAGGTGATCACAATTATAAATCTATACCGTCAAATAGATGTTCTGTGTAGTCAAGAGAGATACTCAGCAAATGATTATTTTTTTCCTCTTGTGAAGTGATTTTGTTTTTGTGTTATTTAGAAAACAGTCTTCAGAATAGAGGGAGAGATAATAGAAGGGTTCCATCTGTGGTACCACGTTCTGAGAAGGGAAACACATTCTATATCCTGTGCTACTGTCCTATTGATATCCAAATCAGACCTTGACCTAGTATTATTTCATAGAGCTAAATGGAGTGTGTTTAAAATGTCTTTGTTTCATCTTTTAAAATTTGTTAAGAATTCTGCTTTGGTGTGCCCAAATTGTGACTCAAGGGTAGAATTTCATGCCTTGCATTGGACCACAGGCACGGTTGACAAAGTATTGGTGTGAGTGGTCCTGTGCGATGCCCTTTATTCGTGTGGCTTGGGAATGACACCCCCCCCCACCTCTCTCCGCCAAAAACGCCCCCCCAAACAGGAAGCACACTAAACTTTAAAAATTAATACAGATTTAAGATCTCAAAACATGTAGTTTACAGCAAAAGCAAAAATTACATTTGTGTTGCTATTATTTTTACAGAAGCTAATGGTCTCCAACAGCCATCAGTTTATTATAATCCAGACCAGCTCCCTCCAGAAAATTCATCATTTATGGAGAGGTGCTTTGTATGCCGTCTTAGATGTCTGCTGGATAATTCATCTGGTTTTCTGGTAAGGGAAAATTGTATGAAGCTGTTACTTTTACCAAAGTTTGATTAAGTGGAAAATAACTTTATTTGGTTACATTGACTTTTTTTTTAAATCTGTAAGAATTTGATAAAAGAAAATAAGCTAAAATCATTATTTTATACTTTGAATATCTTCTGTTGCTCAAAAGTATATTTTAATATGTTGACACTAGTATTTACCACCAGTGGCCCACACCTGGTTGTGTTTTAATTTCAGATTGCATTAATGTGTTAAGGCACAGTAACATTGAAATTGTGACTTTGTGTATAGGATAGGTATGTCAGAACTATATGATCTTTACATGAGTCTAGAATGACTTCTGTAGAAAAATGATTGTAATAGTCATGATTGGTGAATCATCACCAGATAGGAGTGCTGGAGGGTCACCAGAGCTACACTTATTGGTGCTAAGGTCAAAAGCAGCTGGATCATGCTCCAGCTCCTTAAACTATGTTCCTGGCTCTGTTGTGCTTTTTTTTTTTTGGTGGGGGTGGGGGGTCACACTTGGCTATGCACAAGGGTTACTCCTGGCTCTGCCCTCAGGAATTACTCCTGGCGGTGCTCAGGGGACCATATGGGATGCTGGGAATCGAACCCAGGTCAGCCGCGTGCATGGCAGACGCCCCACCTGCTGTGCCATTGCTCTAGCTCCTGTGCTTATTTTTTAAAGAAAATTTCTCTGACCCAGGTGTTTCAATTGCTTAGAAAGAGATTTCCTAGCACTTAGTGGGTATTTCTGAGATAGAATTTCTGTTTGTGAAATTCAGAAACTGTGCTACTGTCCTATTGATATCAAAATCAAACCTTGACCCAGTATTTCTTCTTTCATACAGCTAGATTGAACATGTTTATTTTTTTTAATTATTGTTTTTTTCTCTACTACCTTACTTGAGAGCATATACTCTGGTAGCTTCCTGAAGAAAAATGTACAATCATACATTTTTGGGGTGTTCTACTTGTTTAAAAAAAAGTTTTTAGTTTGAAAATGTTAAAATTGTCTTTCTCTTTTTAATTTGTTAAGTATTCTTCTTTATTGGGCCCGAGGTTGTGACTCAAGGGGTAGAATTACACACCTTGCATGTTTCTGGACCTTGTTTTGATTCCTAGTATATGACCGTCAGACACTGCTGGTATGGTCCCTGCAGCAATAACAACAAAAGAGTTTTGCTTTCTCTATATGATTTAATTCTAATTCTTTTTGTTGTTTATAGTTGTATTTTATTTCTGTGTAAAAGATCATCATGATTCATGAAATAACTCTCTGCTATAGGATATAGCTCAATATACATGAAAGTACGTGTGTATTTGACTATTTGTCATTCATACATTCAAGAAATGTATAGAGTGCCTAGTGTACAAGGAATTGTGTCAAATGTGAAAGGGCAATCATCAGCTCAGAATGTGACACACATATATTCCTGTAAGGAGTGATTCACTTATCAATATTGTGAAATAGTTTTAAAGTAGCACTTGTCTGCCTCACAATGGCCATGATTGTGCCTTTTCAAAAAGAACTATTTTAAACACCCTTAGTGCACTGTTTTGAAATTTATTTCTGTGTTTGAAGGCAATGAATTTCCAAGGAAGGTTAAAGTATCTTCATGGACAGAACAAGAAAGGGAAAGATGGATCATTACTTCCATCGCAGTTAGCTTTGTTTGCAATAGCTACTCCACTTCAACCCCCATCCATATTAGAAATCAGAACCAAAAATTTCATCTTCAGGACCAAGCACAAATTAGACTTCACACCTACTGGTTGTGATGCCAAGTAAGTAACACTTCCTTTTATATTGTCAAGTATATGTTTCAGTGAAGTATTTTAGTATTTAAAATATATAGATAACATTGTTATTAAATATTTTCAGTCTTTCTTTCAAAATAAATATCATCATGCTCACGATCTTTTATTTTATGTCACATTAAGTAGCATAAAGATAATGTGCTTATATTAGTGAAATCAGGCATCTTAATAAAACAGATTTGTTTCAAATTTTTGATTATGCAAACTTATTTTTAGCCCTCAAACTGTAGTAAGTTCTAGAAAATTAAGTATAGTGTAGCATTAAGCTTTGTGCTTTTCTGTAGTGTGGGAATGCAGAGGTTTGAAGTCTTGCCTTTCAATGGAGTAATAAGCATTCTAAAATTTTATTAAAAATCTATCAAATCCATCTTTAGTAGTCATGGTCTTTATTTAGGAGAACAAAATCATATAAAACACAAATTTTCAACCATCAGCAAAATGTGTATATAATCAGCTAGTGTGAAATTCTGTCAAGTAAATTCTATTTTATTAAAATTGAATGAGCAGTTAATATAGGTTGATCGTTTCATTTACTAATTTGATTCTCATTTTTCATTTTTTAAACAGAGGAACAATTGTTTTAGGCTATACAGAAGCAGAGCTGTGCATGAAAGGATCAGGATATCAATTTATTCATGCTGCCGATATGCTTTATTGTGCTGAATACCATATTCGGAGTAAGTTGTAGGAGCAGTATAACAACATATTGCATTAAGAGAAATCCTTTGGATAAATTTCTACTTGGGAACTTGATTATTCTACTGCTGTCACACTAGAATATAGTCATTTAATTACCATGAAAATGACCATTATATACAAGATTGTATAGTAATAGTCTCTATTTAAAATGGAAATTGAACTAGAAGTGAACTTAGAGAAGAGGTGATACTGACACTGAAGTATGCTCTAGGGTATGTGTATCAATATGCAAAACTATTACCTATTATATAAACCCCTGTGTTTCTGAGGAATTGTCAAAACACAAATAGTCGGATGGATAAATGAACTGTTGATTTTAATGGATTCAAATCAGAAACGCTTTGTATTTCCCTCCCCTCCAAGTCATGCCATGTCTCTGATTCCCTACATGACTATAATTCTCCCTTTAACATTTAGTGTAACATAGGAAATAACAAATATGAAAAAAAAATTGTCCAGTGTAAAGTTTGTCAAGGTATTTATTAGCAAGTTGGAAATGTGTTAGGTTTTGTTGTAAATATTTTTGTTACCATATTGATTTGGTCACTTAATTCTTTCATTGTATTTTAGTGATTAAGACTGGAGAGAGTGGTATGACAGTGTTCAGACTTCTTGCCAAAGGCAATCGATGGACCTGGGTTCAATCTAACGCACGCTTAGTTTATAAGAATGGAAGACCGGACTATATAATTGCAACTCAAAGACCTCTGACGTAAGCATAAAGTTTTCAGATGTTTTCATTTAAATAACACCTTAGTTTACAAGTTTTTTGCATAAAAACTTAAAAATGATTTCTAAGAGAACTTACTGTAAAAGTATATTTAGAAAGGTAGCAGCTGAGGTGAACGGCTTTGAAAGAGTAGAATTGACAAACCATGAAACAGTTAAATACATAGCACTATACAGGATAGAAAAGTAATAAAATTCTGAGATTTTTATCACAGATATATGAAGATGTAAACCTGCTGCCATCTGTAAAAATTTATTTATTGGTTTTTGGGATCACACCCGGCAATACACAGGGGTTACTCCTGGCTCTACACTCAGGAGTCAGTCCTGGCGGTGCTCAGGGGGCCATATGGGATGCTGGAAATCGAACCTGGGTTGGCTGCGTGCAAGGCAAACGCTCTACCCGCTGTGCTATCTCTCCAGCCCTGCCATCTGTAAATTTTAAATTATGATGTTTTTAACAAATATTTGGACATATGTGACTTGAAATAAGGATCAAGATTACTTTAAACATACATATCTAAGCATTACATGGATATCCTGTTAACCTATTACTTTTTGTCAAGAAATTTTGTCTGTAGTTTCTTAACCAACAACATATTATTAAGTATTCTCTTTTTTGTATAAACTTTATTGTATAAATTTATTCTCTTTATTGTATAAACCAATACCAAGGTTTAACATCTTATTAGGAATTTTTGTTGTTCAAGATTACTGTGGGTTTTTTTAATTCCTTATATTTGAAGAATTAACATCTTTCTACTTCCCAGCTGGTAGCACTGTCCTTCTGTTGTTCATCAATTTGCTCGAGCTGGCACTAATAACGTCTCCGTTGTGAGATTTGTTACTGTTTTTGGCATATCGAAAACATCACGGGTAGCTTGCCAGGCTCTCCAAGAAGGGCAGAGGAATTGAACCTGGGTCGGCCACATGCAAGGCAAATGCCCTACCTATGGTGCTATCGCTCCAGCTCATATTTATGTGTGCAGTTAATTTTGTTCCAAGACATTTGATATGTTGTTACATCAAGAAATGTCTTAGTAAATAGTTAACTATGTTTGTATTTGTCAAGATTTCCTGTTAAAAATATAGTTCTCTGTTCTTTTTTATCTTTTTTTTGTAAATGAGACATTGGGGTATGCTCAGGAGACTATATTTAGAACTATAAATTGAATTCAGGTAGATCCTTAGCACAATGTAATAGAAATGACAGAATAGGGCAGGACAGATAATTTCTCTACATACATGGACAAATTTTCAACTTTGGCTTACAGATATTTCTTGTTCATTGTGTCTGTTCATCATTATTTACATTATTTACTTTTTCTCTCTTTAGGTTATTTTTCTCCCAGCTGTCTCCTTTTTAATTCATAAATTATTTAAAGTTACAGCAGTACAGATGCTTTATTAGGGTTTGTTTTCCCCCAGGTTGTCTTTGGTACTGACAAATTCTGGAGCACTTCATTGGCTATAGCCAATAAGATATGTTCTGTTGCATTTATAAGATTGATTTGCCAGTTCATATTGATTTTTTTGTTGTTTTATAGCACATGGGATTTTTTTGTGTAGGATAGTATAAGTTTTTGTACAAATTACAAATCATTTAATCTGTCTATAAATATAACACTGGTCATTAGGAAAAAATGGAAAGTAGTTTCCTGTTTTCAAACTCAGATTTTTTTTTGGTGTTCTGCTTAATTTTAGATGTAGATGATACAACTTCCTAATATTGCACACTCATATACAATTTTAGGGAAGAAGAAGGAGCAGAACATTTACGAAAACGAAATACAAAGCTACCTTTTATGTTTACCACTGGAGAAGCAGTGTTGTATGAATTAGCCAGTCCTTTGCATTCCATGATGGATTCCTTACAAAAACAGACAAAAAATGATGCAAGTAAAGGTTCTTCTGCCAAATTAAGTCTAAATATGGATTCTGTTCATCCCAGCTCTGTCCTTGGTGCCATCACACAACAAGATGAGTCTATTTACCACTATCCTACTGCAAGTAACATATCTTTTGAAAGAGATTTTTTTAACAGATCTATAAATGATTGCAATAACTTGCAATGTAGTGTTGTACCACAAGAAAATGATATCCTGAAGCCTGAACAAATTGGTCAGCCTCAGGAAATGAGCCCAGGTCTTTCAGATAATAAAAATAGTGACTTATATAATATTATGAAATACCTGGGCGTTGACTTTGAAGATATCAAACAGATGCAGCAGAATGAAGATTTTTTCAGAACTGACTTTGCTAGTGAAGAGGACTTCCGAGACATTGACGTAGATGACATCCTGACTTATGTTCAAGATTCTCTAAATAAGTCTGCCTTTGTGTGTTCAGGTTACCAACAACCCATGGTTCCTAAGTCAGACTCCTGTATGGTACAGGAGAATCTCCAGTTAGAGCAGCAGCCACTACAGCATCCTCAAAAGCACAGAGCTGTGGAGCAGCAGCAGTTATGTCAAAAAATGAAGCACATGCAAGTTAATGCTATGTTTCCGAACTGGAACGCTACTCAGTCTGTGCCTTTGAGTTGTCCTCAACAAGATCTCCAACAGTATGTCTTTTCAGATTTACCCGGGACCAACCAAGAGTTTCCCTACAAATCTGAGATTGATACAATGCCTTATACGCAGAACTTTATTCCCTGTGATCAGTCTGTGTTACCAGAACATTCCAAGGGTGCACAGCAGTTAGATTTTCCCATAGGGAATTTTGAACCATCCCTCTACCCTACAACTTCTCATTTAGAAGAGTTTGTCTCATGTTTACAAGTTCCTGAAAGCCAAACGCAAGAACTAAATCTCCAGCCAGCCATGGCAGCTCCTCAGACATGCTATGCTGGAGCGCTATCAATGTACCAGTGCCAGCCAGAACATCAGCATAGCTCCACGTCTCAGCTGCAGTACAATCCATCAGTGCCACCCCCGCAGGCATTTTTAAATAAGGTAAGCGTTTGACCAAACTGAAGACATCCTTTCAGTGGTTCTCCCAATGTTGTAAGTGGAAATGAGTTCTGTTACTTTGTCAGTGATTTATTTTAATCTCTTATCTGTACCATTCCCAGTTATATAACGTAAACCAGCATTTTTTGATAGAGAAATATTAACTGAACACAAAATTGGGAATTCTCAAAGGGTTAAAGCAACACGTCCTAAGTCCCATGTGAAACTGCTTACAAAAGTGCTTGTCCTTATAAAAATACAGACTTCAAGAGCTAGAGAGGTGGCTCAGAGTGAGCTGTATGCATGTGGAGACCTGGTTTTAGTTCCCAGCTCTGTAGCACCGCTAAGAGTGTAGCCCCTAAAAAATAAAATTCAGACTAAATATATTAGAATTAAAGTGCTTTTTTTTTTAAACCTGTGTAACTGAGTTTTAAAAAAATTCTTTCTTTGAACACTGTTATCCTATATCAGTGTTTATCAAAGTGGATGCTACATCCCACAGTGGAGGGGTGCTGAAACAATTATGAGAGGCAGCAAAGCCTGGCAAGCTCCCCGTGACGTATTCAGTATGAACAGGTCTCAAAATGGTGACATTACCAGGCCTGCTTGAGCAAATCGATGAACAACGGGAGGACAGTGTTTGTTTGCAGAATAGCACACTCACGTGTTTGTCCACTTAAGATAAATTACAGCAGGGGACAGGAGGGTGGAGAGTAGTAGGCCAATTAAGTTAAGGATGGGAGAAGCATGCTGAGAGTAGACTATAGACCAAACATGATTGCCACTCAATGTCTCTTTTGCAAACCACAACACCCAAGAGGAAAGAGAGAACAAAAGGGAATGCCCTGCCACAGAGGCAGGGTGGGATGGATACTGGGACCTGTGGTGGTGGAAAATGGGCACTGGTGGAGGGATGGGTATTTGATCATTGTATAACTGAAACCCAAGCACAAAAATTTGTTAGTCTACAACTGTACCCCATGGTGTTTCACTAGTAAAAATTTAAAAAAAAAATGTTTCAGGTAGTATGTTCATAGTTTTTACTTTTTTTGTGTTAGGTTTGGTAAATAATTTATAACCTGTTTGTTTGTTTCTTACTGCCAACCTTTTCTGGAAAAACAGTTATTCAGTGCCCTCCCTGAAAACCTAGTATCTTATATACTTGACAAAAATAAGTTTTAAATGGAGGAATTAAGGCTATATTTTCTATTTGAAATTTTCACCATATACTTTAAAACATAAGGATGATCATGAGTTACAGAATTATGAGTCTTCACTAGCAGTTAAAGTGAAGTTCTGTAGGATACGGAAATTTTGGTAAATTGATTCATTATGACATTAATTTTAGTAGTTTTCACTAAAACATAAATTGGAATATATGATTAATTGGTACACAATTTAACTGAAATATTTGGTGCAAACAGCCCTATTTATGACAATATATGATTAAATTTCTAATGTGAAATAGTTATATCATTTACCTCCAGCATCTAGGAGAGAACACAACTATTTTAAATTTAGATATATTCAAGATGATGCTTGTAAAAAATGTTTCATTGTTTAACTAAAAGGTCTAATAAAATTGCATTGCGATTTTTGTTTTTAGTTTCAGAATGGAGGTGTTTTAAATGAAACTTACCCAGCTGAATTCAGGAGCATAAACAACATACAGCTTCAGCCCCTCCATCATCCCACAGAAGCCAGACCTTTCCCTGATTTGGCAACCAGTGGATTCCTCTAAGACTTATGTTGACCTTGATTTGCTCAAAAACTATAAATTTTGGACATTTACAATGTTATTCCAAGCCAAAGTCTAGAAAATATTAATCCCATATACTATCATTATGAAAATGTGTTCCCACACATAAGCAAGGTATATGTTTGATATTACTCTGAGTTTCTTGACCCTCAAAAAAGAAACTATTCTCAGTTTTAATTCAAATAAAAATTTGGTATTTCCCAAGTTTTGAACTTCTGAATTTTTAGTGTACCATAATTACTGTTTTCTTGTCTTTTGATCATTTATTTCAGATTGTAAAGAAAGTGGTTTGGTGCTTTTTAAAAAAGTTAATGCTTTCCTCCTTTATTGTTAATATAAGTGCCTCACCTTTTTTTTTTTCAGACTTTACACTGTAGGATGTACATTTTATATAAAATATACCTTTTCTTTTTAAAATTAATATTCTGTGCACTGTATTTCAGTAATTTTTTATTAATATAACCATGTTGTAACTGCACTACTCCTCCTACTTCAGGTAAAGGACAAAAACCGATTTAAAAGATAATTATTTATTACACAATCTAGTTGCTTCTAGATTAAATTTTGCTGTGTGCCTTATAAGGAAAAGACCTGCAAGTAAAATGTCTTTTGAAATTAGTTCTTGGAAACAGCACTAACATTTTCAGAAGAAAAGGATATACCACTATAATTGAACGTTGCAATGTGAAAAAATTGCTATAAATGCAACAGTGTTCATAAACTTGCAGTGAAATGAAACTTTTATGCTCTTACTTATTTTAATATGTATAAATAAAGTGTATAAATCCCTGTTTTAGATCTATTATTCCTTAAGAATTATATGTTGATTTATAAACTTCCACTTAATACAGTGAAAGCTATTTTTTTTCTCATATTTGAGGAGTGTTAAGATTGAATATAGCAATGTTTGGTGCAAAGTATTATGAGTGAAATGAATGGTGCATTGTATAATATATAATGATTGAGTTATCTGTAAAAAAATTTTTTAAGATGCCAAAGAATGAATTCAACTGATTTTAAGTTGTTATGAAGAAAAAAAATCATCTAGTTCTCTTAAATGTTATGTTAATGATAAAAAATTATCTTGTATTGGGAGTTGAAGAGATTATAGCAGGTAGGGGTGCTTGCCATATACCCCAGTGGTGCATAGCACCAGTGATAAGCACTGATACCGCCAGAAACCCTACCCCCACCCCCTGCCAAATAAAATAACCTGAACCAGTAAGACAAACACCACTCTGACAGTATTGTTCTTGAGTGATTTAAAAGTACTACCATTTGCCGGTTTTTTTTTCCCAGTTAAATGGGACGACCCAACTGCGTAAATATAATTTGCATGTAATATATTACAATTGCATCTTAGTTTAGGATTGCATAATGTTTTTAAGTGCAGTCCAAATTTTAAATTTATAGACTCATGTCTTTAAAAAAACTAATTTAAATTTGTCTAAGACATTTCATAATTTGTTTTAACATGAGGTATCTCTATATAGATTTAGACCAATGGTCTAAATTAATGATGCTCTTTAAACATTAAAGCCTTTTTTGAAAAATCTTTATATAGACCATTTTATTACTACTCTCCCGCTATCAGATGAAATGTTTAGGCTTTCTAAATGTGATTATGATGACAATCATACACTTATAAAAAAGCTAAAATTAAGCAATATTGTATTTTTATCTATATAAAATATTATCCAATAATAAAATCATATTAAACCAAATCAATGTTTGTCTGTATTGCTAAGTGCCAAAGAAAGAATACTTGGTGCATGGCTGGAATCTTAGATATGTGCAATTCTAAGTATTTGGATGTCTCTAACTTGAGCCCTTTGATAGCAGGTTGTTCCTAACAGCACCTAGAGTCATTCAGTATTTAAACGTATTATGAAGTCTTTATTCATTAGTGTTTTCAGTATTACTAAACTTCTGTTTTAAATGTTTTCTTGGATTTTCTTTAAAATGTTACTCCTTCCAAATACCATACCTAGAGTCTTGTTTAAAATATATTTATACTCATAAAAATTGTATGCAATATTACATATGGCAATAAAATATCAGCAAGTCTGAATATTATGTTTTAATGTAAATTCTTTATGGTTCATGTAAAGACAATGAGTGTGTAATTATAGCTGATCTATTCTACTTAAATATGCATTAAACCAATAATTCTGTAATTTTTGGTGGGGAGGGGTCCATTTCAAGTATTATAAGTGTTAGCCACATAGATTGCAAGCCCCATACCTGCTGTATTCTCTCCAGTGCCTGCAAATACTTCAACAATCTAAAAGTTTCTGGGGGAAAAAAATAGGTTAATTCTGTTATTCTCACATTCCTTTACACTGAGAAAAGTTATCTACTGTAAATATAGGGGTAAGCATCTAGTTTATTATTGTACACTTAAAATAGCATTGTGGCTAAGAAATTACATATTATTTTACTATTTTTAAAAATCTAGACAGTCATATTTCAGACTTCCGCTTTCATCCAAATGGCAGCAATCATCATGAATGACCTGTGGCCATTTATTCATGCAGCCTCCAAAATAACCCCAGGGTGATAGTGACTCATAGAACTAGTTAATACTGTTCTAATGTTTTTCTCCAGTGTTTGCAGATTACCTTATTTCCAGTTTTACTTTAGAGATTTGACCAGTAAATACCTATAAAAATATTCTGGGTGTGTTTGTGCTTGCGTTCAACAATATCCTTGTTCTCTTGGGTTCAGCATCAGGAGGGAAGACCCTAGTAGTTTCCAGGGCTAATGCTCCTCCTCACCAGTTCCCACACCCTCAACCCCTGCCTTTCTGTCTCCAGAGTTATCATTCCTTCTCTAGAGTCCCCTTCATATTGGGGAAAATTCACTTGCTACTGCATCTCTTACTACTTTTTTACATCTTTACTCTTTACATCTTTACTCTTTCCTTGTGTTCTGTGAAAGAACTTCTAATTCCTTCTCTTGCCTTTGTCTTCCAATAGGCTCAAATTGACCATTTGTGGGTTCCTGCTGACGCTTTGGAAACATCCATTCTGCAACCACTGCCTTAATGATGGGCCCTTTAAAAATCGTTCTTCCCACTTGTTAGATATGAGATAGAAACTTGTAGAGCACCCTTTGAAAGCAGGGTAGCAGAGCTAAAGTACACAGGTTGAAGTTAGGTTCCTGGCTCAACACTTAACAAGATAAAAAAAAATCACGGTAATGAAGTTTTAGTCTATGAGTCTATCCTTTTCTATTAATCTAAAGATAACAGTATATCTGCCTCATTGTGGGATTCAAATAATTATTGTAAAAACACTTTGCCACCCCTAGTCAAAATGAGTAACAAGTCAATTTTAGTAACTAACATTGAATTACAGCCCAAGCAGTTAAACACCTGATGGTTTCACCCTGTTAGAAATGTCTGGAAAATATATTTTTTAATGTAGGAAAGGAAACATATCTTTCTAAAGAATAATTCCAAACAGTATTTGTAGATACAGTACCTAAAAAAGAAAAAACCTCTTCTTCAGTATGGGTCAAACTCAGCATCTTGAAGGAATACAGTAAAGAAAATAAGAATAGTAAGTTTATACTGTAGGAATCTGGCAGATACGTTAATAAAATGATAATGGCTAGTGTCATGATGCTAATCCTTTAAATGATAGAGCTTAGTGTCATGAATGCTAATGGTGACAATATATACATTTAAATATTATACTATACCGTTCCTCAGATCTGATATTCTCAAACACATATAAGCCTAATAGAATGAGAAAAGGGCAGACAAACCCAAACTGAAGGAACACTGCAATTCTCTGAGCAAATTCTTTGAAGTATCAAGGTCATAAAAAACAAGTAGCAAACAAAACATTGTCACAGGGCAGAGAAGACCAAGGAGACATGACAACCAATGCTAACTTGCTCTTAGGATAGAAAAAGAACCTTAGTGACAAGTCTAGGTAGAGTTTAGTTCATTATTCTGTACAAATGTAACATGATCATGTAGGACTTTGGGAGAAATATGCACAAAGCAACCAAAGGAAACTTGTATCTTTACAACCTAAATGCAAACTTAAAATTATTCTATGAGTTTTAAAGTAGCTTGGGCCAAAAAGATAATGCAGTGTACTTGCCTTGTATGTAGCCAACCCATGTTCAATTACCAGTGCTACATCCGGTCCTTGTGCCCTGCCAGGAGTTATCCCTGAGCATAACCAGCTGTGACCCCGCCTATGTCATTGATTCCTATGTAGCAAAGTACTCAGTAACTATCTTTACTATTTCCCAATGTCAGGTATACAACTCCTCAGTTGAAAGTAAATATCTAGAAATGGACACTAACCCTTCTCGTGATTTTTCTAAAATATTGTTGAGCCACCATGATTTACAATATTGTTAATGATAGTTTTATTCACAGTGTTTCAGCATACTTCTATCAGAATATCCACCACCAGTCCTTGGTAAGCTTAGTGCTATGGTGAGCTCTCAGATTCTACTGTCTTTTGCCTTACTGTGTTCCTTTATATCTCACATGAGAAAGATCTGTTCTGTGTCTTTCCTTATAACTAGCTCCACACATGTGTTTTATTTTCCATCTCCAGTTCATTGTACCTTTTTCTCTTTGATCATCTGACAATTTTTTTTCTAGCAGCTTTCTAACTTCCTGTTCCCAGGCTCCTACACATCTGCAAGCAGTGTTGCCATTCTCGCAAATACAGCCACCCCTTAGACTTTGAGCATCTTAACTGACGTCCATCCTCTTGAAACTTCCTCTCTTAATCACCATTTCACCTTCATTCTTCTCCAGTACATTGTTCAGCTAGCTCTCAACCTCATTATGCTCTAGAGACCACACATTTTTTCATTTGTGAGTTTATTACCTCAGTATCAGAATTTTGGGAATGTGTTTCTTGTTTTCTAGAGTGGTTTACTTCCTTATTGGTTATTGCCACCCCAATCCATTGCCCTGACCAGAAGCACCTTCCAATAATCTGACTTGCTATAAAAAGTAACAAATAATTGGATTTATAATAAACTTTTACTATGTTTATAATATGAAAGAAACAATGAAAGATGCTAATACATTATCTTTTTTTGGTGAAAAAAAAAATTTTCTCTGGACACATTGAGGATTGAAAAAATAAAAATCTCAACCTTCCTCATAGATTTTTGTTAGCCGATATTTATTCTGACCAAATATATATATCAATAAAACATTTCATACTTCCAAGAAAGCTGCTGATAGATGACTAGTATAAATAGTCAAAGGAGGACTTTATGATTTGTCTTTCTGCTTTTCCATTTGCTAGCATTTCGTGTGAATTATGATAGCTAGAGATCAGCAGCTGTTTGGATCCTTGAAGGCAAGTCATAACGTCAAGATGATGAAGCAAAATTAGAATGACTCACATCTCATGACTAGGAACCATCAAACAATCCCTTATCTACCTACCTCTGGACTTTTTGTTTAAGACTTCTCCACTCAGCTCCACTCCCACGGTATCCTCATCTCACCCTGCAATGATATTATCTCCAATGTGACTGAAAATAATCTAGCATAATCTTTCACGTTTTCTTTTCTTCAGTTTTACATTTCTATTCGCTAGCTTCTCAGACTTTCTTCACCCTCTTTTTTATGTATCTTCAATTGTTGAACACAGTTCTTTCCAGCATACAAGTACAATCCATTTCTTGTTAGGAAAATCATACTTCATTCTTGCATTTTGTACATTCAGATAGAATAGCTAATCCTTTCCTTACTGAATTCTTATGTCTCATACGTCATCTGAATTTATTACCAGTTTTACATGTCAGCTTTCTTAAATGATCCAGGATACTTTAATACCTTTGCTTCTGTAACAGCATATTCGTAGTCCTACTTCCTAATATCGTTTTCCTACTATTCAAATATTTTTTGGTTCTCCTATTTAATACCATACAGATAGACTTTATTTTTAAAGGCTCTACTATTGTTCTTTTTCCTTTCTTCTCTGAATCTCTTTATAATCTTACCTATTATTGTTTATTACTTTATGTACTACTAAGATCTTTGTTTTGATGGGAAGTCCCAGATTTTCTCTTATCTATTTTAACACTTGTACGAAAAATTTGTTAAACTGTCTTACAGTGCTTAAAATTTTCTTCAGAAAGTCCCTCCACAGTCTAGTGATTCTAATATTGTTAAACCTTTATCTCCATCTGTGGTTCTGGTAGCCCAGACTCAAATCCTCATTTAATCCTCACCATTACCATCCAAGACACTTTATACTGAGGTTATAGTGAAGCACAGACATCTTCTGAGTATTACCTACCAACTCATTAGAGATAAGAGAGGAACTTGGTGGAACTAGCCAGTTGTAAGGATATTAGATTTAGAACTGAAATGAAAATCTATTCATAATTAGGTTAATATGAATTCTGACCAGTGTTGAAGATCACACTGTTGTAGCTGGAAAAACAGTGCAGGCGTTGAGGCACATGTCTTGCACATGACTGATCCCAGTTAAGTTCCCAGTACTGCATATGGCCCCACAAGCAGTGCCGTCATTCCCTGAACACACAACCAGTAGTAAGCCCAGCACAGCGCCACCAAAACTATAATTTCCAGAGTGTGTGTGTGTGTGTGTGTGTGTGTGTGTGTGTGTGTGTGTGATGGGGACCCACACCTGATATTGCTCAGGGGAACATTAGCAATGCCAGGGATTTAACCAGGGTCAACCACATGAAAGATAAGCACCCTATCCAGTCTATCTATCCAGCTCTACTTCCACTAGTTATCATAGAAACATTTCCCTGTATTCCTAATGAATCAAATCCACATAAAGCAAATCCAAAGTGGTTCATACTGCATATTGATTGAGTCACTGCACTTAGTGGAGGATGGACCATTTTATTTTATTGTCAAGAACTATGAAGTACCAGAGATTTCACTCTGTATTTAAGCTAACAAGTTAGCCAAGGCACAGTTCTACTGAGATAGGGAGAGTGAGCAGGGCCAGCATTTTAAAATTTATTTTATGTCACTGCCACCTAATTGCTAGATAGAAAAGGGAGAAAGAGATAACCGATTACTCATGGCCTAATAGAGTTGCTTTATGTATTTTTTAAAGTGTGAACTGTGAATGCTACCCACATGACCCTTTTACCATGGGACAATTAGAGCAATAGACCACAAGTATCTTTCTCATGGAAGCAGAAA